GGGAGCCCGATGCGGGACTCAATCCCGGGACTCCAGGATCATGACCTGAGCCGAAGGCAGTCGCTTAACCAACTGAGCCACCCAGGCGCCCCAAAATCATGGAATTCTAACAAAGGAACAGTTACAGGGATGTTCAAAACAGCACTATTTAGGGACGCCTGGGTGGCTCAGTTGGTTAAGCATCTGCCTTCGGCTCAGGTCATGATCCCAGGCGAGCCCCGCATCGGGCTCCCTGCTCAGCGGGAAGCCTGCTTCTTCCTCTGTCTGCCGCTCCCCCTGCTGTGCACTCTCTCTGAAAAATAAATAAAATCTTAAAAAAAAAAACAGCACTATTTATAAGGCAAAAAATTGGTAGCAGTCCATATATCTAATAATAAGGGATTGAGTAACCATATCATGGAATTGCTGCTAGTAGAACAGGTTGGAATCCATTAGTGAATCTTAAAAACAAAGTGACTTGCTGTCAGCATTTGAAAAAAATAAAATGAAATCGATTTGAAAATATCAGAGGAAAGGTAAGTTTTGCTTCATAAGAAATTTTTGTTTCATATTTGTATGTGTATGCATTGTGATATTAAATGAATTCCTTACTCTGAGTCATGGTCCAAATTTTTAAAAAACTCTGCAGTGTTAAAAATAGGTATGTATGGGAGGCACCTGGATGGCTCAGTCCCTTAAGCATAGGACTCTTGATTTTGGCTCAGGTCATGATCTTATCGTGGTGGGATCGAGCCCCACATCAGGCTCCATGCTTTTTTTTTTTTTTTTAAAGATTTTATTTATTTATTTGACAGAGAGAGACACAGCGAGAGAGGGAATACAGCAGGGGGAGTGGGAGAGGAAGAAGCAGGCTTCCCGACGAGCAGGGAGCCGGACGCGGGGCTCGATCCCAGGACCTGGAATCATGACCTGAGCTGAAGGCAGACGCCCAACGACTGAGCCACCCAGGCACCCGCAGGCTCCATGCTTAGTGGGGAGTCTGCTTGAGTTTCTCTCCCTCTCCCTCTGGCGTCTATTGCTTACATAAGCGCACGCATTCTCTCTCTCAAATAAATAAATCTTTTTTTTTTTAAGATTTTATTTATTTATTTGACAGAGAGAGAGACAGCGAGAGAGGGAACACAAGCAGAGGAGGA